TTTTATACACAAAAACACCAATAAATTGTGATTAAAGAAATCTGTTTTGAATATTTAAAAATCACAGCTTCTTCAGAAAATTACGAAACTTGGTGACTTTTATGGCATTGGGTATGTGAACACACAAAAAAATTGAGGTCATGATTCGAGCAATTTAAGTGGTCGTAAAAAAATTAGTCACACTTTTGCTCTTCTGTCAAAAATGACAACCCATAGGAAATGAATGGGAAATTGACAAAAAAAAAAAATTCTCTGAATTTTTGTATGTACAATCTACAAATCGGCCACAATTCTAAAAAAAAAAAAAGGTACACCGCAGGAAAGGGGTGACACTCTACAACATCTAGAATGCAAAACAGACACACCCACCAACACACACACACACACACACACACACACACACACACACACAAACACACTTTTATACACATACACACCAATACATTTTGATTACAAAAAGTATTTTTTGAATTTTTAAAAATCACAGCTTTATCGCAATGTTACGAAACTTGGTGACTTTTATGGCATTATGTATGTGAACACACAAAAAAATTGAGGTCATGATCTGAGCATGTTAAGTGGTCTTAAAAAAAATAGTCACACTCGTGGTCTTTGGTCAAAAATGACCCCCATAGGAAATGAATGGGAAATTAAAAAAAAAAAAAAAAATGAAAAAAAAATTCCATTTTTTTTGTCAATTTTTTTTTATAAGAAATAGTTTTTGAGATTGTTTCAACTATACAAATCCACCAACAACAACAAAAAAAACAGTAGATGGCTTATTAGCCATTTCCACTCCCTAAATTTTTTTTCTTCACATTTTGCTTTTGAATTTATATTCAGACATTAGGAAATCACTATGCTGAGACTAAGATTGGAACTTTCAGTCCAAAATTGTAAAGGGTATATTTGGCACAAAAACAACATATTGTTGCTGCTTCTCTCCAACTGTAACTGTGGACTTTTTGAAGGTGGAGGGATTTATGAATAGCTGTTAGAAAGCTAAAAATTAACAGAACTTTTATCTTTCAGCTGACAATGATCCACAAAAAAATGCTTCAACAAAGAAAGTTAAATGTTTCGGAATGGCCCATCCAAATCTCAGACAATTTAACAGATTTGGAAAGTGTTTGCAAAGACTGGGAAAATATTCCCAAGTCACAATGTTTTATAAACTACTTTTTGTAGTAGTCTGAGGAAGAAATCTTCTTCTAGATGTGCAAGCAAGAAATGAACTGATCTGGTCATGTGACCTTTCACACTAGTCACATAACATTAATTGATTTCAATCAAGACAATCTATTTTGTCATTTAAAAGTTGAATTTCTTGCCCAAAGTCAATAACAACATTTTTAGAGCTTCCAGAAATAAGAAAAAAAGCTGCGGTCACAATTGTGACCGGCGGGATTAAACGGGTTGCTGCAAGATCAAGTAAGAATAGGGTTGCCACCCGTCCCTTAAAATACGGAATCGTCCCGTATTTGTGAAATAAACAGCACGTCCCGTTTTGAATCAATACGGGACGTGGTTTGTCCCATATTTCCGAACGCATGATCCCATGCAAATCATGCCACCCGCATTCTGCGAAGACTCGTCCTATTCTACTCTTGATAATACTCGCTGCCATTTTTGGTTTGATTGGTTTGTTTAATACCATCAGGTCCAGGGCCAATCAGAGTCAGAAGAGGGCAGAGAGTTGCGTCCACCTCTGAAACGAAAGTGTATGCAAAAGTACCGACAAGAGTGGGAGGAAACAAATACTTGGCTGGAAAGTGTCAGTGGCAATGAGTAGCCTAAACAATATATAAATACATAAATAAATTTTCTTACCAATAATACAAAGAGTCATATCAACGGTCATAATTTTACATAGACCCACATAGTTGAATAAACAAATAAGGATTTTACAGAATGGATAATACTAATAGTAATTATAATGAAATCAATTTCACAAGAAGAAGTAGAGTAGTTAATTTGCCCGTGATTGCATTTTAGTGTCTTTATTTCCATAGTCTAGAGAACATGCGACTCAAAGCAGCGTTCTATGCTTTTAAAGGTATAGGCCTATTGTTTTTTTTTATGTTTTTTTTTCTTTGGAAAATAAATATATAATATTAATTCCATACATTTGTCAGAGCTTGGTAGACATTTTATTATATTTGTTAATGTTATTAAACAGATTAATAAATACATTATAATTTGTATTATTAAATATGAATCATATATGCATACTAAATTATGATCCTATCTGTAATATACACTTTATGGCAAATAATAGAAAGTTTTAAAAGTGCTTCATTATTTAAATAAAAATTAAGACTGAATTGAATTTGAATTTGATTTTGAAATTGTTAAGTAGTAAATAAAAACAATAAAAATATCTCATCCATGCAGAATTGTCAAAAACATGATTACTGGTTCGGTAATCCCTAACATATACAGAAGAGTTTATATGTATATTTATATAGCTCACATACTTGATCTCATGTTTTCTCGTGGTTTATTGTTGAGCTGTCAAGTTGTCATGTTGAAATAATCAGTTCCATACGCTTGACACATTTTTTTTTATTTCATTTAATTATTTATTTATCTCGTGTATGGGTGTCCCTTATTTTGCCTCACTGAAGGTGGCAACCCTAAGTGAGAAGCATTACAATTCGGTTATAAACCATAGATATCAGATCAAAGAGCAGTGAAGTGGATACCAGGAGAAACATTGTACCATGAACGAATAAGATATAGGGCCCTTTCATTCACACGGTGCAATGCAGCGGCAGGCGCAACTCAAGTGTATTTTTCTAGTTTCAGCCTGACGCAGTTATCATTTTCACATCCTGCGCCAAGTTGTTTAAATACCAAATCCATTTGTACGCCCATGGGCGTGCTGGTCTGAAAACCAGGTGTGTTCAGGCGCATTGTTGGCACTTTCCTATTTTGAAGCAACTGAAACAGAATTTTTTTTAACGCTTTTTATGTTATTTAAAGGGATACTCCACTTTTTTTGGAAATATGCTCATTTTACAACTCCCCCAGAGTTAAACTGTTGAGTTTTATCATCTGTAGAACTTATTGGAACCAATGCCATTGCTCTAAAATGTTAACTGGAAATGTTAACCTGCCTATAATATATTGATCCGGTGTTAAAACTTAAGTTGATCGCTTACATTTCAGTTTGCTAAATAAATGTTTTTGTTATATACTGTTTGCATTTTAATTGATTTCAATTTACAAGTTGATACTGGGTTTAAGATCACATAAATTAATAGATTTGTTTGGGCTACTTAAATATTATTTTTCCCAATTTAATGCGTGACGTCTTAATATCGAGTCTCTAACATGGAAGTAGGATCAGAGATTGACTTATAGGGACATGAGGGTCTTATCTCTTTCCATTGGAGAAAGCGTAACGGCTAACTGGGATCAGGTGAGGCACCTCAGCCTATCGTGGAAAGGCGGTGACGTCAGTGACCGCAGTTCAACATTTTATGACAGTTACAGCTTACGCTAATCAGTTTCTTGTGGATTAACGTGTTGGTCTTGTGAACAATGTTTTATATTTGGTGATCGCTATTAAACGTACGGTAGGGATGCATTGTTTGTGAAATGAGCTTTGCAGCTAATAGAGATTCTCTCACTTTTTCCACAGTAAAGTACCAGTCACTGCAGGGCGCATAAAACTACATTTAAGATTAAACAAAAAATGTTACTGTCATTTAATACATATTTAATTAATTAAAATTATATATATATTTTACCATCATTCATTAAAAAGTAATATATTACCATCATTGGGCACACAGCAGTAATATATCATTATCAATACAAGTCTAACCTTTCTAACGATAGAAAGAACACACAATTTTTTATCTTCATTAAACAACATACAATATAAACACAATATTATAATTAAATTATTCATGTTCTCTTTATTCATTCAAAGCATAATATCAGTATAATATCATATGCATACATACAGTTATAATAGTCATTACAATTCAAGTCTTATAACTAGTAAAACCTTAAAGCGTAAAGAAACCATCTATATATTTTACTTTCTTTAATAATATACAATATCACTCAATATTAATATTAAATACTATGGTAATTCCAGAAATGAATCCTAACTGTAGCGACATTCCCTTTTCTACTTTCTCATATTAAATAACATTTTTATCAAGGGAAAATCTTCATGCAAACTTTGGACAAATAATATTTATGGCATTCAGGTATTTTCTATCCAATTGCATTGATAGAAAAACATGATACATTTCAACATTATTTGTTCTTCAGATATTCCTCTTTAAAAGAAAAAAGTTTCAGTAGTATGCAAAGTGGCCCGCATTTTGTTTTTTGACCACTGAAACAATTTACTATTAACTCATGCAGCCACATTAAGATCTCTATATCTCTGGGATTGAACCATATAGGGCCTTTAAAATGAAGATACCAAATAATTGGTTGTTAAGAACCAGAATCTAAAAGGATATTAAGATATCTGTAATACTTCTTGAAGTTACAAACTCAAGGCAAAAAACACAAGAAGTGCTTTTTCACATTTTTGAACTTTGAATGATTTTCAACTGTCCCTGTTGCCATATAATGAGACAAAGATGGCTAAAGGCAACAGATTTAACTACCAATCATTGTGTAAAAAAATGATGATACTGATGAAGATCCATCTTTCTAAAGGAATGTTTATACCCCTCTAATTTGGCTTCAAAACTCTGACAAAAATTGTCATTTTGACCCCCGTCTTCAAAATAATGGACATCTGTGACATTAAATAGTTTGACTTTCTTCAGAAAAGCTATTAACAATCAACAATTTGAGCCAGGTAAGTTTCTGAAATTTGGTTGATTTGACATGGAATGACACAGGGCTATTTGTCTGGTCATGTGATCTCAACAAAACTACATTAGTTTGACACATTCTTCAAAAATATCATTCATTTCTGTAGAGATTTTAAACCGTATCAGTTTAGCTTTTAGAATGAAACCAACCTGTTTTTTCCTCAGTATCTTCTTGTTTCACTTTGAATGTTTCTTCAATCTTGATGTCTTCACTCTCCTCTTTAATAAACGCCATCTTTATAATAATGCGTCACGTGGATCTCATGTAAGCACCTTCACCAGGAGTTTTTCTGTGTGTTTGACAATAAACAACAGAACAAAAAAAAAAAAACTCAATCAGCTTCCTAGTTCAGTAAGGGAATCAGTCATAGTCATAGTGGCTTTAAATAGCCTGATTAGCCAAATATATTACAACAAGCTCTACAAATGATACACTTATATGACTTATTCTATATTAAATTGTAAATTATTTTGAATAGATTATACTTTCATTACACCATTTGAAGTTGGTTTGTTAAAGTTTTCATTACATGTTGTTCTCGTTACACTGTTTTGACCAGCAGGTCTCGCAGTGTGCGGTGAATCGAGCAATTTGAATCAGTGATTCATTTTACGAATCAATTAATTCGGCAGTCTCGAAAAGCTCAGTTTCTCCCATTACTTGCCAGTCACGGAATTCGTGAGTACAACAAACTAATTTACAATATTGGGAGACGCCAAATGAGACTCACCTTTACTCGTTTGAATGTGCTTTACTCACAAAATAAAGCATTATAATGTTACAATAAATAATAAATTCATCTTACAGAGCTTGTAAATATTATGAATTGATTGATCAGCATGATTTCATATAAAAACCTTAAATCCATTTAAAGACCAACCTTTCTTCAGCCAAATTACAACAGTGTGGCGCACACTTATGACGTCATATCGCCAGACCAAAATAAAAGTCCCAATCACACGCTGTCTAAAATCATAAAAGTGCATAGAATATTGTATACAAAAGGCAAAACTTCAATGTTTGGGTGCAGAATATATTTACAAGATATCACAGTAGGCTATTTAAATGAAAAAAGTGACAAGCCTGGTTTATGAGTTAAAATAACATACTATAAGTTCATAAATCAGAGATCATAATATAAATATATATATTCATTCAGTTGTGCTTAAAAGAGTTAACATAGCCTTTGAAGAATCAGCAAAACATTTTAAAATTGTAACAAAATAAGGGATGATACAAAATGTACATTATTTTTTTATTTAGTGCTGCCCTGAATAAGACATTTTACATTAAAGATGTTTACTATAGTCCACAAGACAAAACAAATAGCTGAATTTATAAAAATGACACCATTCAAAAGTTTACATACCCTTGATTCTTATAATTTTTTTTTCCAAAATGACATGCCCAGCGCATAATTTAAACTGACACAGTGAGCAAAACCTCTTCTCAAGTCTCCAAAAGTCTAAACACATGATTTGCTTTACACACATTTTGCAAATCAACAATAGCGCTTTTTAAGTGCACTGAACACGGTTCTCTACATAAGAAACAACAATTTGACAAAGTCACATGTTTGCCATTTAAAAACACTGCCATTCAAACACTACATGAGATAATATACAACTCCTCAGTGGTTGATTGAATTAACACTTCAATCCGGATGTAAGTACAATTTGCTGTGCATATGTTACACTGACTTGTTTGGTGAAAAAGACAAAAATAAATGTTTCAACAGCATGTGTGTGTATCTGCAAATATTTCACTCACCAAAACTGCAAAATTCCTCATATATCCTGCAAAATGAAGCACTGCAACCAAAGCTAAATATAGCATTATCAAAATAAACTTTTGCACGAAATGGCACGCACTTCATTCATATTACAAGATTTTAGTCTATCCAACTACACTCTGTTGGGCATAATGAAAATCACTCTCATCTTCAGCATGCTTTGCCATAACACTAATGTTCACATTTTGTGAATTGTGATATTTGTGTTTTGTGATAATCGTCAAAAAGTATTTGAATAAAAACAGCCTAGTTTGCAAAATTTTGTTAACAATTAGACAAAAACTGTAATACTGTGTTGTACCACTAACAAATTATTTTAAAAAAAGTGAGTGACAGAGAGAGAGAAAGAGAGAGAGAGAGAGAGAGAGAGAGAGAGTATATGACAAATTATTTCCTTACTCGTAACTTGTGCTCATCAACATCTCTCTTAGTGCTACCCTGATGAACTTTTTTGGAACATCAGGAAACTTTTTTTTGTATTGTGTCTGTAAATCCAATTCCACTTATCATATGTGATAACATGATTACAATTTTGCACTGTAACGCCAACATCATGTTTTCATAAAGAAAAAAGAAGAACATTTTACTCACCTAGGATCAGCACAACTGTGTCCTGATCAAGAGCTGGCTTTGCTATTGCACCTTTGTTAGCATTGCCAGCTCTTCCAGACAGCCCATGTGTGGCCAACGTGTCTCTCTCAAACACTGCCACCGCCCGTCCACAACATGTCAGGACAGGTGGACTAATTCCCCAAGAGTGTCCTGGTTCTTGCACTGGAAGAATTAAAGGTTCTCTGAGCGATCCTGGGTGTTGTTGACGTTCGGAATATTTTCAACCAAATCGGAGGCTAGCTAGACCCTCCCTCCTCCGCATCTCATCTCCTCCCCCTCCCTTCCGTCCTTCCTGAAATAATTGTGAACGTGCATTTCTAACTAATTATATCCTTGTGTGGGTTTGGCGAACATAAGCGTCAATTTAGAAGAAAAAAAAACAATTTAACGTTACCCACCTGTCTAGCAAAAACAGAGCAATCTGAATGTCGGACTGGAAGCCCTTCTGCCGCCGGAGTTCTCGCCATCGTTCAAAAGCTTTGCTACCGATGTAAATTCGGAACTTCGCACATTCTTTATCCGACTCCTTCTTCTTTTTAATTTGTTCCTCAGAACGACGTCTCTTTGGTCATGTTTCGGCCATTTTTCAAACTTCCCTCTTATGCTTCGCTCTCCTTCACAAACACACCCCCTTCATGTGCACGCGCACTAACCCCCCAGACCCACCCTCAAATACTTCTTGCCAGTGATTGGCTGGAACACTGTTTGTTAGGTTTCGTGGTCCGGGTAAGACATGATTGTTTTTGTTGCCGTTTGTGGAGCCTGTGGTGTCTACAGAGACCGCGTTTTTTTACAGCGTGTTTAGGGGACAGGCAGCTAGTCGATAGTGAGGAGATGTTTGATGTATGTGACAAAAAATGTTTTGGCCCCACATCGCTTAGAGAACCTTTAATAAAAAAAAAATTAAATTAGGGAAGTCACAATTCAGGCATGGATCTATCATATTAAGTAACAGTGTAAATAACATTTTCAAACATACGTGATTTCCATTCACTTTATGCCTCTTTTATGTGCTTTCCAGACCCTGCCCTACAGACAGACTAGCATGATGTCATCTCAGAAGGTACGCTTGTCTTGCAAAAAAAAGGTTTCCAAATTTACCAGTAGCACCTCAATGTAGAACATGAGGAGTCGCATCAAGATCCAAGGGGTGGAGATGGGTAGGATAAGGGTTGGGTTTAGGGATTAGGGGGCGGAGTTGGGTAGGTTTAGGTGTATGTAAGGTGGGAGGAGTTGGATCTGGATCCGACTCCTCCCCGTGTATTTCATGTTCCGCAGTGAGAACCATCTCAAATTTACAGCATATTGCTGACATGCCAGAAAAAGGGATCATTTCACAGCAATGTGATAAGTTTATTGTTATACCAAGATGTTTTTCATATAATGTGGTGTGAAAGATCACTCTATTTGCCTAAAAATGAATGATCTTTAGGTTTTCTAAATTACATGCGTGTACCCATTTGCAGAGAAAAAAACACATAGCTGTGTCACATAACTGGATGCCTGCAGAAGCTAGGAAAAGAGAATATTAAAGACTATGGCAGAGGGTGCAAAGGAAAATGAGAAATGTGCACATTAACGCAGCTGGTACTAGTAATGTGCTAGACAGTGAAGCACACAATCCCAGGGACACTATGCCAATCTGTAACCCAGGCCTAAATAATGCAGTGACTGGAGAATCTAAAGTGACAGCGATGAAATGTCGTTCGTCAATACTGACATCAGTGCAGTCACATCGCTACAACATTCAATGGCAGAAGACACAGAGAATATGGTTCTTGAATATTCCGGTAGTGACATGGATGAAGAGTTTTTTTGAGAGTAATGCCAACCCTGAAAATTTTGCAGAGTTAAAGAAGTGGGTCAATGAATATAATATCAAGAACAACGCTGCAGACAAACTGCTCAAAATTCTCAGGGATCAAGGTCTGCCATCTACCACTAAAACATTATTAAAAACGGATCATGTTGAAAGCCAAATGGTTTCTGGTGTCGAATGCATTAAATTAGGAGTGACTGAACAATTAATAATGTGCTTGAATCGGTATCCCAACAATTATGCAAAAGACATCACTGAACTTGAGATTTCCCTCAATGTAGATGGACTGCCACTCTTTAAATCTTTCTGGCCTGTACTCTGCACAGTACATCTAAAACCAGCAAGCACATTTCCTTTGACAATTGCCCTTACTGAGGCCAAGCCCAAATCACTGGATTTCATTAAAGTCATATCAGATGAACTGAAATCTATTCTAATGAATGGCTTTGCCTGGGGAGAAACAACAGTCAATGTGAGATTGAGATGCATTACCTGTGATGCACCAGCAAAAGCCATGCTGAAGTGCATCAAACAATTCTCAGGTTACTATGGCTGTGACAAATGCACCCAAAAAGGCACCTGGAAGGGGCGCATCACTTACCAACAGGTGCATGACCTCACTTTGAGGAATGATGTCTCATTTAGAGAGCAACACCAGCCAGAACATCATCACAAAGATGCTGTGTCCCCTTTCAGCAATCTCCAAATTGACATGATCAAGTCTTTCCCTGCTGACTACATGCACCAGTGCTGCCTGGGAGTGATGAGAAAAATGCTCCTACTATGGTCACGGGGCATCGGCTATCGCCGGCTCAGCTGAGGGAGGTCAATCAGAGGCTGAGGAATTTAAGAAATGACAGAGGACAGGGTCGTTTTCATCTATATTAATTTCACATTATATTCTCATCACTGGGATGAGCTGATGGGATGAAAGTGTTTTCAATATTGCTGACTTCCAAGCAGTTATTATATGTTAAAGTCAGTTCATCTGAGGATAGAAAGAGTCCTTCTATATCTTGAGAATCACAAGTTGACAGGTCAAGTCCTGGTGTTATGAATTGACAAAGTGGAGTTTGAAACCGTAAGAGAAGCCTGTATCTCAATTATACCGTTGCATTTTGTTATATAGCTTTATGTGTTCCGTAGAATTTTGCAAGTTGGGCAACGGTGAAATTGCTGTTTGATGTTGAATTGTTCTTGTGATTTTTGGCATTTTGTGGCTGTTGTACTGTCTGGTTTTAAGATTGGTAAGTGTACAAGAGTTGCAGTTGTGAAACTTGATGGATCTTGCAAGGAACATTCTTGGATCTCAGTCTGCACCCCAGGCCTTTACCCCAGGCGTGTGTTGTTTAGCTTGCATACTGTTGCAGATATTTTAGTGATCTGAAACTTAAAGTAAAGAGTACATGTACATTATAAAATATACATCAATAAACAATGATTACAAAGGAAATGTTAGTGCTGGGCAGTTTGACCAAAACTTTATATCAAGTTTTTTTTTTTTTTTTTTTTTTTTCAAAATTAAGCCAGTTTTCCAGTTTATGACTTTTTTTCATGAATAATCAGGTGTTCAAAGCATTTTCTACTGGTTGAGAATTACTGCAATAAGTTGACTTGGATGGTCTATTTTACTGCCATTAGTGAATATTGTAGAATAGATTAGCGCCCAGTATAACCTAAAATTGTTAATTTCATTGAAATTAATTTCT